GAAGAGCGTGTGCCCGGGCACGTGCTGCGGCTCTGCAGGAGGTGCATAGCTCGCAGGGACGCTGCTGGCACCTTTGTACCACTGGCAAAACACGTCACCTCCCTGGAGGGCAGCAGGAGAGGGAGGAGGAGGTCTCCCCCAGTCAGCAGTACGATGCTAATGGGTTTGTGGGCTCTTCAAAAAGAGGGAAGCAGGACCCCTGCAACAGGCAGGATCCACGCAGTGGGATCTGCCTCCTCCCCTCCTGCTGCTGCCCCTCACAGCTAGGCAGGGAGGTCTTCTGCCAGCCGTGACGAAGCTGATCCTGTGTGTCACTGTGCTGTGTGTGAAACCCAGGCTGCAGCACAGAGCCCAAGCCACGGGTGCAGCTAACAGGAAAGGGCGGGGGGCACAGGGGTGCCTGAGTGCCCTCTTGGACTGTCAAAAATTGGAGGAGAACTTACGACACAGACAGTCCCAAGGATGTGTCTTTGGGCTGGCAAAATCCTGGCATACCTAACTGGGAGTGGAAAATAGGACAAGTCTGCCCCATCCTTCCCCTTTAGCGGCTTGGGAGCCCTCCTGCTCCCCCATCTTCAAATTTCCAGCTCAAATGGAAGTGGCTGAGAACAAGCACTTGTGGCACAGCGCTGGGCAGGGACCAAGAAATCGGTCCAAGGTGTGACCAAAGAGATGGGGAGAGAAGCAGCAGAGCCCGAGACCCCGCAGCTGCAGGGGGACGGAGCAGGGCAGGCGCAGGAACGGTGCTGACCTGGTCTCCCCAATCCTCCGCAGCGTCTCATACACCTGCAGGAAAAACTGCCGAGGGATCCCCTGCAGCCCCAGGATGTTCTGTGCAGGAAGACAAAGCCTGGTGAAAGCCTGGCACAACCCGAGCTGCCAGGTGCCGTGGAGGGACAGCCGGGAGCACCGGGGCCCAGCCCTGCCCGGGGCCCTGGCACACACACGGTGTCAGCGCTGCTGGTGGGAGAGCCCCTCAGCGACCACCCCGTGCTCCCGCGCGCACCCCAGGACGACCCTTTCCCTGCGCGGCTCCGTGCAGGCAGGGCTCAGAGATGCTCCGAGATGCCTCCACCCCGTCCTGCAGACACGACTGCGCAGCTCCCAGCATGGGGTTCAGTTCGGGGCCCCAGCCCAGCCTGCGCAGCCCTGCCGTCCACCTGCACCGCGCTGGAAGCGCTTTCCCAGCAGCCCTCGCTGCGACCGCAGCCATTAGCCAATGCCGGCCTGCTGGTTTCTCGCACGGCCTGACACCATCTCCCTGAGTCTCTGATTTTGGTTAACCACAAAGGAAGCATTGCAGCCCCAGAAGCGCTGCAGGGCCTCACGCCCCTGAGAGCCCAGTGAGAGACCAGCAGAGCTGCAAACCCACCCTGCCCGAGAATCACCCAGCACCTCCCACAAGTGACCAAATCAAATGTCCAGGTTTCACCGGTGTCCTGAATGCCACCAGCTGGTCACAGGCAGAGGGCGTGTTCAGCTTGGTCTGCTCAGAAGAGAACACTTGGGGACCCACCAGAACCGCTGGCAGGGGGGACCTGTGTCCCCCTTGCAGCTCCTTCCCTTCACACCGAGCACATCGCCCAGCCCGGGACTAAATATCCCAGCATGGCCGGCTCCAGGAGAGAGCGGGCAAGGCATCCAGAGCAGACCAGCAGACCCTACCTTGATCTGGTTGAAGCTAATGGTGATGGAAGCGGCCGATGTAAACCCTTTAATGACGGGGCAGGAAATGAAATCCAGGAGGAAACCTGCACGGGACGGGTGGCAGTAAGCACGCTGCTGTCCCCAACGGGGTGTTTGCATGCACACAGAGCTGTCACAAGTGTTAGCAGGACAACCCCAGCGTCTCGGAGAGCACGGGGAAGGGGGGGAACAATTACAGGATGTACAGCAATATCGTAAAAATACAACCATGCCCGGCAAGAACTTCTCACCAAGGTGCAGGAGCCCCATGGCTAGCTGGATGCAGCCGGAGAGGAAGGCAAGCAGGATGGCATAGACAGGCTCGTGGAACGCGTAAGAAGAGACAAGCAGCGACATGATGGCTGTGGGACCCAGCGTCACGTCCTTGGCGGTGCCCAGGAAGCAGTAGACAAAGCAGCCCATGAAGGACGAATACAGGCCGTACTGCACAGGGACAAAAGCAGCACTGGCACAACGCTCCGAGCTGGGAAATGCCAGACACCTCCAGGACGAGGAGGGCTGGGCTGCCCTCCGGTCCCTCCAGCGCCCGCAGCCAGCCCTGAGCAAACACCGGCCTCTGCGGCTTCCTGACCCCAGAAAATGGGTGACCGCAGCAGACCAGCCCTTGGCCGCCCAGCCGTCCAGTCCTCCCTGCCAGGCCGCAGGCCGCCGTCGGGGAGCCGGTGTCCCCGGGCACCCCCGGCCGCCGGGCGCTGCCTCCCACCCGGAGAGGTCACCTC